CCAATGTGCCTTGTGTTCTAACTCCATAGGGAGATGGCATGGTTTGCCATAGACTAGCCGAAATGGTGACATCCCTATGGGTGTTTTGTAGGCCGTTCGATAAGCCCACAATGCATCCTCCAAACGCAAGCTCCAATCTTTTCTTGTTGGCCCAACGGTTTTCTCCAAGATTTGCTTGATTTCTCTATTAGACACCTCGGCTTGGCCATTGGTTTGAGGATGATAAGGTGTTGAAACCTTATGTGTGACTTGATATTTCTCGAGCAATGCCTCGATGGTACGATTGCAAAAATGAGATCCTCCATCACTAATGAGCACCCTTGGCATTCCAAATCTAGCAAAGATGTTAGTTTTGATAAAATCTGCAACAACTCTAGAATCATTAGTACGGGTGGCCTTGGCTTCTACCCATTTTGAGACATAATCAACCGCAAGCAAAATATAAGTGAAACCATATGAAGAAGGAAAAAGGCCCATGAAATCAATGCCCCAAACATCAAAAATTTCGGCATTAAAGATGGGTGTTTGCGACATTTGGTCCCTTGCACCTATATTTCCCATGCGATGACAACGATCACAAGTTAAACAAAAAGTTCTAGCATCTTTAAAGATTGTAGGGCAATAAAAACCACATTCTAACACCTTAAGGGTAGTGTGTTGTGTGCCAAAATGTCCTCCACATGCATAAGTGTGGCAAAAGGTTAGAATTGAATTAAATTCACAATCACGCACACAACGACGAAAAATCTGATATGCACAAAATTTCCATAAATATGGGTCATCCCATACATAAAACCGTGCCTCCTTTTTAAGTTTATCACGTTGGTGCTTGGTTATGGTGTTTGGAACACGTTTTGACACCAAAAAGTTCACCAAATCGGCATACCAAGGTTCACTTACCTTAATGGACAACAATTTCTCATTGGGGAATGTCTCTTGGACGGGTAAGGAGTCCTCATTGCACACCAAACGACTTAAATGGTCAGCCACCATGTTTTCACTCCTTTTCTTGTCTCGAATTTCAATGTCAAACTCTTGGAGAAGAAGCATCCATCGAATTAGCCTTGGTTTGGCCTCCTTTTTGGTGAATAAGTACTTCAAAGCTGCATGATCAGAATATACAATCACTTTAGTGCCAAGTAAATATGAACGAAACTTATCTAAAGCAAACACAACGGCAAGAAGTTCTTTTTCAGTGGTAGAGTAGTTTAATTGAGCATCATTCAAGGTCCAGGATGCATAATAGATGACATGTGGTTGCTTGTTCTTCCTTTGGCCCAAAACAGCCCCTATTGCATAATCGGATGCATCACACATTAGCTCAAAAGGCAAGCTCCAATCTGGTGGGATTATGATTGGTGCCGTGGTAAGCATGTCCTTGAGGTGCTTGAATGCCTTCTCACACTCCTCGTTGACCTCAAAAGCCACTTCTTTTTGTAAGAGACGGCATAGGGGTTGTGCAATCTTGGAAAAATCCTTGATAAATCGCCTATAGAATCCTGCATGGCCAAGAAAATAACGAACCTTTCTCACCAAAGTAGGAGAAGGTAAGTAACGTACAAGATCTATTTTAGACTTATCAACTTCAATTCCTTTTTCAGAGATGATATGACCCAAAACTATGCCTTGTTTGACCATAAAATGACACTTTTCCCAATTTAAAACGAGGTTAGTTTCCATGCATCTTTTCAGGATTAAAGTGAGATTATGCAAACAATCATCAAATGAGTCCCCAAACACACTAAAATCGTCCATAAACACCTCAATAATTTTCTCAACATAATCCGAAAATATACTTACCATGCATCTTTGGAAAGTGGCCGCTGCATTGCATAAACCAAATGGCATACGACGATAAGCAAAAGTATCAAATGGACAAGTAAAAGTGGTCTTTTCTTGATCATCCGGAGCTATGACAATTTAATTATAACCCGAATAACCATCAAGAAAGCAATAAAAAGAATAACCGGCTAACCTTTCAAGCATTTGATCAATGAATGGCAAAGGAAAGTGATCTTTCCTTGTTGTGGCATTTAGCTTCCTATAGTCAATGCAAACTCTCCAACCGGTTTGGATGCGTGTGGGCACAAGTTCATTCTCTTCATTCTTCACCACCGTGACTCTGAACTTCTTTGGAACTACTTGATTGTAATTTGATGTGATAAATAATAGCACTCAAATTAAAACCTCTTTTTGACAATTGTAGTATAGATATAAGTAGGGATCGTTCTAGGCCGGGATTAGGAGGGATTGCTAATCTAATGAAAACTGACTCAAAGATACAAAAATATGCTTAAAAACACTTAAACAAACTCAAAGACTCTTAACTAAACTTATATGACTCAAAACAAACTTAAAAGACTCAAAACAACACAAAACAATCAAAAAGACTCAATTTAACTCTAGGACTTAATTTGGACGAACTAGAATTGGTTTTGACTCAAAAGACTCAAAAACACTCTTTAGGACAGATTTTAAACAAGTAAGTAAAGGGGATTGGGTTTTTTACGAATTTAAGAGAAAAACAAGTAATTAAAAGACTTGAGTAAACTTTGGACGAATTTGGGAAAAACAATGGATGATTAGATAGCTAAGGATACTTTTCCACACTTGATACATTCAAACACAAATTGATTTCGAGTTGCTTTTTCGATAAACCATGAACCTCAACACCCCAGATTAACGTGACATCACTAATTAACCCTCATATTTTCCTTAAGTTATTGGATTGGATGACATCATAGGACAACCCAAAGCATTCTTCAAAAATTCCCTACATGACATCATAATAGAGATACAATCAAAGATCATTACGTTCAATGAAAATCATAAGTATTGACAAAGCACTTGTAACTATGACATCATGATACTCATGCTAGGAATTTACTTAACATGATTGTGAAAACAACCTTAACTACTTGTGAATATAAGTTTGTGACGATTATGTGAAACTCTCTTATATTCTAGCACCAAATTCAAGCATACAAATTAAGTAGGCCTCAAGAATAAGTTATCCATCAAATGGTTAAGTAAATTGCATTCACAATTTATGAAATCACAACTGGACTTAATCAATTCATATCATAAATATAATCATGGTTTCAAAGCCTCCCCTAGCTAAAATGAGTTTAGCCTCTCATGTTCACAACAAAACAAAGGAAAATTGAATTAAACATTGACAACAAAAGATAGATTACACCTAAGAACGTCCAACACTCCAACTTGAATGCACAAACGTCCAAGGCTTCTTCTTCTCTTCTTCTTCCTTGCAAAGCTGCGACACAAGAGTCTAGGGGTGATTTTGGATGGATTTCTGGGTTGTGAATGGATTTAGGTTGGTAGAGTGGTGCGGCAAAGGTTGGGAATGGTGTATGAGTGTTTGGGTGAAGGTATGGAAGTAGGAGAATGGTGGAAGGATGGGTTGAAGGCTGTGGCAAAGGGTTGGAGAAAGGATGAAGGATGGCAGATTGTGTGGGTGAATGATTAGGGTAGAATAAGGGTGCGGCTTTGGTATTTATTTGAGAGAAAGAATCCTAAGGTTTATTACATAGTTTACAAAAGGATTGGACCCCCAAATCCATAAGGAAAAGGAGATATAAAATCAGAAAATCCAAGAGAAAGGGGAAGGAAACTTGCGGCATAAATTGTATGAAAAGGGAATATGGTTTAAGTCTAAAATTAGGCAAGGATTTAGGATGGAAAAGGTATGTAAGGTGCGGCATTAACTAAGGTGAAATAGGAATGTGATTTTGTGACACAGAATAGGAAACAAGTTTTTCCCTTGCACAGCAAGGAAGGGAAAGTCTATGGGGTGCACGGCAAGGGTAATTAGATTCCAAGGAAGGCTTGGTTTATGTCCTAAAATGCATAAGAGTCTTCAATGTTGCTGAAACATAAGGTCTTTTAGGATTAGGAAAGGTTAAACCAAAATAAGAAACCTTGGCTTAACTTTCCTACTTCAAGTAGGAAACCTTCTTTGACTATGATTCCTCTTTTGATTAGGAATCCTCTTGTGATTAGGAATCCTCACACCTTTAGGTCTTCAATTTCGTCCATTCCTTTTGCTCCAAGCATATGTTATCCATTCCAAGTCCAACTTTGCTCCAAAATGCTCATTTTTGCTTCTTTAGCCATATGAACCTATAAACACACGAAAATAGCTTAAACTAGTAAAATAACTATGAACTAATAACATAAATGTACGAAAACAAGCTAACTAAGTCGCCAAAATATGCTCCTATCAGGTTCTTAGGTCAAAAACCAGCTTCCTGGTTGGAACATGAAGTTTATTAGTTGACCCCAGAGGAAATTGCTGACTGGGAAATGTTGAAACGATTATTTCAGAAAGTGTTTATTCCCCCTGAGTATATTGATCACAAGAAGCAAGAGTTTACCCAATTGAGACAGGGGAATATGACGTCGAATGAGTATTATAGGAGATTCATTGATTTGTCTCGTTATCATCCTGATGTTGCTGCTAATCCGGTTGAGATGCTCCGTCGTTTCAGATTGGGTACTAAGAAGAAGTGGTGTTCTATGGCGACCACTACTCCTTGTGCTTCTTACCAGGACTTCTATGAGATTTTGTTGAGGATTAAGGATTCAGAGAATATGCCTAGTGAGAGTGAGGAAGAAGAAAATTACGGCAATTAGAAGAAAGATGATAAATGTAAAGGTCAATCATCTCAAGGACCTCGTAAGACTCAGAGCTTTAAGCGAAGTGGAGCTAGTTCCAGTTCTTCCAGCAAGGGTTTTAATGCCACTAGTCAAGGAAGAGGTGGTAGATTTTTTGGGGATGCTAGTAAAGGAAGGGCTCCGTTGTGCCGCTTAACAATAGGCATTTTGGAGAGTGTAGGCAGGGCAGCAGTGGATGTTTTACTTATGGCTAAATGGGGCATAGGGCTATAAATTGTTCTCAGAATCAGCAGAGGCCCTAGCAGCCTTTCTTGCCACCACCAACGCCGATCCAGCAAGTTCCAAGATCTGGTAGTTATGGTCAGATGGGTCATGGTAGTGCTTACCATTATCAGGGTGATGCCGTTCCTTATACTTCAAGGCAATATCAGTATTCCCAGGATCCTTATTATCATAGTGGGTATCCTCAGTATTGTGGAGGTTATACGCCATATCCTCTCATTCTAACTTGTGGATCTCAGTGGTATCAGGGAGGACAGCCCCAGCAAGAAGAGATTGCTTCCAGTAGTGCAGGATCTTCAAGGCAATCTGGTCAGCCAAGTCAGGGGCGAGGTAATCAAGCTAGTAGAGGTCGTAGGGGACGACAACAAACCCAGGGACGTGTTAACAATATCTCTCTGCAGGATGCTCAGAATCATCCAGATTTAATCATAGGTACGTTAAACATTCTTGGTCACTTTGCTAGAGTTTTAATTGATTGTGGTGCTACGCATTCTGTCATTTCTCATACATTTGCTCAAGTGACGCAACCTCATCCTACACCTCTAGGGTATGATTTAGAGTTTGCTATGCCTAGAAGGGAGAGATGTTATGTTGATTGTGTATATCCAGGATGTCCAGTGATGGTGGATGATATAGTTATGCCAGCTAACCTTATCCTGTTAGATATTGTTGATTTTGATGTGATTTTGGGCACAGATTGGTTGCATTATAATTGTGCCAATATAGATTGCTACGGGAAAACAGTTACTTTCCATCGTCCTGGATTACCTGTGGTTACTTTTGTAGGTGAGCAGAATGGGGTAAGGCATGGCGTTATTTCCGCTATGAGAGCAAAAAGGTTATTATCAAAAGGTTGCCAGGGATATTTAGCTCATGTGGTGTTGAATGATGTTGCTCCTAGTAGTGTGGATGGAGGATGTGAAAGTAGTCAGACATTTTTCTGATGTATTCCCTGATGATTTACCTGGATTACCGCCAGACCGAGATGTGGAGTTCACTATTGATTTGCTTCTAGGTACGGATCAAATATCTTTGACTCCTTATCAAATGGCTCATGCTGAATTGAGGGAATTGAAATTTCAGTTGCAAGAATTAGTTGATAAAGGTTTTATTCGGCTTAGTACTTCACCCTGGGAAGCCCCAGTGTTATTTGTGAGGAAGAAAGACGGGACTTTGAGGCTATGCATTGATTATAGGCAATTGAATCGGGTAACAATTAAAAACCGTTATCCATTGCCATGTATAGATGATTTGTTTGATCAGCTTCGAGGTGCCTGCGTATTTTCTAAGATTGATTTGAGGTCTGGTTACTATCAGTTGAAGATTAAAAGTGAGGATGTTCCTAAGACGGCTTTTAGGACTCGATATGGTCATTATGAGTTTCTTGTGGTGTCATTCGGATTAACTAATGCACCTGTGGCTTTTATGGATTTGATGAATCAAGTATTCCAACCATATTTAGATAGGTTTATTATTGTCTTTATTGACGATATTCTGGTATACTCTAAGTCTAAATCAAAGCATGTTCGACATCTCACTTTGGTGTTGAAGAGATCGAGGGAACACCAATTGTATGCTAAGTTTAGCAAATGCTAATTTTGGTTAGATCAAGTGGCATTTTTGGGACATGTTATATCCGCCCAAGGTATTCTGGTGGATCTTCAAAAGGTAGCAGCCGTTGAGAATTGGGAGCAACCACGAACCGTCACGGAGGTACTGAGTTTCCTTGGTCTAGCAGGTTATTATCAACAGTTTGTTAAAGATTTTTCAGTTATTGCTTTACCACTGACAAGATTGACAAGGAAAGATGTTAAATTTGAGTGGAATGATAATTGTGAGCTGAGCTTCCAGCAGTTGAAGTATTGTCTCACTCATGCACCTGTTTTGGCGCTTCCAGATGGTAGCGGTAATTTCAAGATCTATAGTGACGCTTATTTGAATGGTTTAGGATGTGTGTTGATGCAACATGGTAGGGTGATTACCTATGCTTCACGACAATTAAAGCCTTATGAGATGAATTACCCTACTCATGATCTGGAATTAGCAGCCATTATCTTTGCTTTGAAGATTTGGAGATATTATCTTTATGGTGAAAAATGTAAGATTTATACGGATCATAAAAGTCTCCAGCATCTTTTTACTCAGAGGGATCTTAATCTTCGGCAGCGGAGGTGGATTAAGTTGCTACGTGATTATGATTGCACGATTGAGTATTACCTTGGTCGTGCAAATACGGTGGCTGATACACTTAGTAAGAAGACTCCAGTTAGACTTAATGCTTTATATGCTTGTCATATTCCTCTTCTCGCTGATTTGAGGTGCATTGGAGTGAAGTTAGGGGTGGAAGCTCAAGAAGAAGCTTTACTTGCTAATTTCCAAGTTAGACCAATTTTAATTGATTGTGTGCTCGAGGCTTAGATGATTGTTGAAGAAATCCAGGAGTTAATTGAAGCAAGAAGTTAAGGGAAACAAAAAGATCTCAGAGTTCAGGAGATTGATGGCATACTTATGCAAGAAAACAGAATATATGTGCCAAATAATGTGGAATTAAAGAAAGAAATTTTGGACGAAGCGCACTATTCGGCTTATGCAATGCATCCTGGAGGTACTAAAATGTATCATATCATTCGACCATTTTATTATTGGCAGGGTATGAAAAGAGAAATTGCTGAGTATGTGAGTAAGTGTGCCATTTGTCAGCAGGTTAAAGCTGAAAGGAAAAAGCCTTTTGGATTGATGCAGCCACTTCCCATTCCACAGTGGAAATGGGAAAACATTACTATAGATTTTGTGTACAAACTTCCTCGTACACATAATGGTTATGACGGCATTTGGGTGATAGTTGATCGGCTTACTAAGTCAGCACATTTTATTCCAATGAGGGAGAAGTATTCTTTAAGCCGATTATCTGAATTATTTATATTGAAGATTGTGAAGTATCATGGAGTTCCAGTTAGTATTGTCTCGGATCGTGATCCTAGATTTACTCTTAAGTTCTAGGTAGCATTCTAGGAAGCTCTTGATTTGAGGTTACTTTACAGTACAACATATCATCCTCAGACAGATGGACAATCAGAGAGGACTATTCAAATGTTAGAGGATATGCTAAGATCTTCCGTTTTACAGTTTGGTGATGCTTGGCATAAACGGTTAGATTTGATGGAATTTGCCTATAACAACAACTTTCATTCAAGTATTGGTATGGCACCATTTGAGGCACTTTATGGCAAGTCTTGTCATACACCTTTGTGTTGGTCTGAGGTTGGCGAGAGGATTTTGGAAGGCCCTGAGATAGTGGAGGAGACTATTCAAAATATTCAGGTGATTAAGTCTCACCTGAAAGCGGCCCAGGATCGACAGAAGAGCTTAGCAGATAAACATGCCACTAATAGGATGTATAAAGTAGGTGATTGGGTATTTTTAAAGCTTTCACCATGGAGAGGTGTGGTACAGTTCGGGAAGAAAGGTAAGCTAAGTCCTAGGTACATCGGATCGTATGTGATCACCAAGAAAGTTGGTAAAGTTGCTTACAAGCCTGAGTTGCCTCTAGATTTGTCTAAAGTGCATGATGTGTTCCATGTTTCCATACTTCATCATTATGTTTCTGATCTGTCACATGTAATACATCATCAACCTTTGGAAATTAATTCAGATTTGACTTATGATAAGGAGCCAGTGACTATTCTGGATTGGAAAGATAAAGTTCTGAGGAATAAGACCGTGCATTTAGTGAAAGTTTTGTGGAAGAATCACTCAGTGGAAGAGGCTACTTGGGAGACAGAGGACCAAATGAGAGAAATGTATCCACGCTTGTTTTTTTATTATCAGTGGTTTGTATTTATTGTGTGAATTTCGGAGACGAAAATTTCTTAAGAGGGTAGGTTGTGACAGCCCGTCCCGAAATATTTTTATTGATGATGTGAAAAGACTAAATTGCCTTTGGACATTAGGTGGTGTTGTGTGACATGCATTTTGGTTGTGGTCCAATTCATGTTTTCCTTAGTTTTTGGAACCAATTAGAACTTAGGTTTATTTTATTTTCTTTTGTTTTGGTTGGCTGCCATCTGGACCACACACACATATCTTTTGTTTTAGTTTTCTTTCTCCGTTCTCGTTCTCTTCTCCCTCCTACCCCTCTACAGCATCGACATCACAGCAGCTACCAAGCCCACCAAACGAGTCACGACTCACGAAATCACCTCACCATTGGAGAAGGCGAAGATTGCTAAGCTCCAGATCAGAGAAGATGATGGGCTCAACTCGGTTGATGACCACCCTATCTGGTCTGACTCAACCGGTTCCACGTCGCTCTTGACTCGATCGACAACCTCATCGCCACAATCCAGGATTGGACTGCCATAGCCGACAACAAGCCCATCAGCATCATGAATCTTGAGGTTATTCAACTAGCCATATTATGGCTCGAGGACAAGCTCTTATACAGCAGGTCATGTCTTGAAATTCTACATGCAATTTCTAATTTTTGAAGAATATTAATCGATCTTTGAATCTGGTTGTTTGGTTGCAACGACGGTCTTGTCATTGGGGAAGATGACTTTGGTATTTTCCTTTCTGTGCCGAGGAACATGACCTTCAGTTCGTCCCTTCTATGCTGACCTAAAAAATTGTAATTGGACCAGTGGACCTCGCCCAAATCAGCCCATTTCAAACTGGTCAAGTTAGGTATGGTTCCAAAATTGAAATCCCATTACTCGCCCTGACCTGCCCTGTTGCATTTTCATACGGGTCTGGTCCGGTCCCTCCAAATTTGGGCTCGGCAGGCCCGTGCCCAATCCTAGGATATAAGGTATATTGATAGGAGCATATTTATGCGCCTTAGTTAGCTAGTTCTTATGCATTTTTGTTATGTTTTATTCGTTAAAGTAGTCTTTTAAGATACTTTCATGTGTTTTCAGGTTTAAAGGACATATTACATGAAATGATGCAATTGGGAGCTTTTGGAGCAAAACTGAGCTGGAATGTGGTGTATGCAAATGGAGCACGAGGAATGAACGAGGTTGAAGGTCAAAGGAGCTTAAGAAATGAAGAAATGAAAGTGAAGAGCAAGGAAGTCGGAATTGGTAACCAAAGTTTCTAAAGTTGGAAGTTTCTATTCTTGGAGGTTTCCATTGTCGTGAGTTTCTATTCTTGGCTTTGGGCTTTTAGATGACCTAAACCCTAACTCTTTGTGGACCCTAAGCCTATGCCGCACCTAAACCCTAACCTTAGCCCATTTTAGAGCCATTGCCGTGGGCTTTAGCCCAAGTCCTTTCCCTTGCCATGCAAGGGGAGGCATTTTAGGCCCAAATCCATGCATTAAGCCCTTCACCCTAATTGGCCCAAATCCATGCATTAAGCCCTTCACCCTAATTCTTCCTCCTAATTAGTGCATCCCACCATTCCATTCCATAATTTCCATTAGTGCATCCCACCATTCCATTCACACTTAAATGCCCATTATCCCATTTTTTTTAGCTTTTAATTCCACACCATCCCATTATCCTTTACATCCACTAAACCATGCATCCACATTCACCTAAATAAACCCTAAATTACATCCACTAAACCATCCATCCACCATAATTCCCACCATCCACACCTTTTCCCATCCACCAAATACCTTAAACAAACATCCATTAACACCCATTCTCTTCCTATAAATACCCATTCATTCCATTCACCAAATCATCTCATATTTTCCATTTCCTCCATTTCCACTCCATTCAACACTTCCATCCCCCCAACCAACTATCCCTAGACCTTATGCTACAATAAAGAGGAAGATAAGAGGGCCTAAACGTTCATACAATTCAAGATTGAGTTGTTGGAATGTTTAGGCGTTTCTTTGATTTCAATGTTTAATTTCAATTCTCTTTGTTTTGTACGTATGAGGAAATAAACCCCCTTTAGCTAGGGGGTGATTCGAAACTATGTTTATGTTTGTAATATGATTTGATTACTTTTAATTACGTTTCATAAGTTGTGAATTCAATTTGTTTAACTGTTTAATTGATAACCTATTTATGTATGTTTATTAAGAATGAACGCTTAATTTTCATGCATGAATTTGACGCTAGAATATAAGTGAGTTTCACGTAATAGTTATGAACTTATATTCACAAGTAGTGGAGGTTGCTTATAAACAATCGTGTTAAACATATTCTTGGCATAAGTTTCATGCAATCATAGTAACGAATGCCTCGTCAACACTTATAGTTTTCATGATGCTTAATGATTCTTGCTTGTATCTCTATTATGCAATTCATGTAGGGAACTTGTGAGGAATGCTTTGGATTGTCGTATGCAATCATCCAATTCATTAACTTAAGGAAAACTTGACGGTTAATTTAAGCGGACCTAATTAACCCGGGGCGTTGAGAATTCATGGTTTATTGAAAAGCAATTAGACATCGTTTTGTATGCAAGTATAACATATGTGGAGATGAACCCCTTAGCTAGCTTCCCATCCATTCAATTCCGTCAAATCCATATTTACAATTTGTTTTATTTTCAAGTTTCCATTTTTAGTTTAAAGTCGTCCAAATCCAATCCCCCTTTACTTTATTGTTCAATTTAGTTAGAAATCAATTTAGTTTGTGTTTTTAAAGCATTTTGAGTCTTTTGGTTTGTCTTAGTGTTTTAACGTTTAGTTTCACATTCTTTGAGTCTAGTTTAGTGTTTTATCTTGTTTTTACGTTTTTGAGTCAGTTTCCAAGAGATTAACAATCCCTCCTAATCCCCGGTCCAGAACGATCCCTACTTATACTTATACTACAATTGACAAAAAAGAGGGTTTAATTTGTGTGCGTATAAATCTCGCATCAAAATTTTGGCGCCGTTGCCGGGGATTAGCAACTTTGCTAATCCCTTGGTTCTTTTATTTTTGTTTAGTTTTTTTTCGTTTTAGTTTCTAACTTAGTTTTATTTTCTTTGTTTGATGTTACTTTTGATATTTGCTTTAGTTCTTTTTCTTTGATTTTAGGTGCTTGAGCAGTAAGACATGGATTTTGCTAGCATTCAAGCTCAATTGGCAAATCTTACTTCTCAATTGTCGCAGATTGCTGAAAGGACCACAATACAAAATGTCCCTACATCTAGTGCGTCTTATAGGCAAGGATACCAAGCCAACCAATATCCACAAAGCGATTGGAGTGATCATTCAAACTCTATGTGGTGGGAAGCTCAACAAGTTCAACATGAAGCATATTGGCAGCCATATGAGGAGTTCTGTTCAAGACCTATGCAGCCGCCACAACCTTATATGCAATATGCTCAATCAAACTCAGGTTCGTCAATAGATTATAATCAAATTCTTAATGAATTAAACTCTTTGGTGCAGGGTTCACAAAATCAAGCTAAGGAGACTCACCAAGAAACATATTGGCAACCATATGAGGATTCATATGCACCACCACAGC